TGTGTTACTTCCAAAATACTAAGATAATCCCAAGCGAAATATAAATAACAAAATACGCACGATTTTCAAATTGGTAAATTAAACCAAATAAAAACCACAACTATTAATTATGCATGGCTCGGTATTTTTTGCTTTTTTGCACTGAAAATTATTTTGGCAATTTTTATAAAATTATTTAAAAACTGCCATCATACTTTCTTTTTTTATAGTATATGTAATAGTATATTTACCATTAAAATTTATTAATTGAATATAATAAAAATTTTAAAATTATTTGGTTGTTTATATAGTTTGTTTAATAATATAATTATAATAAGTTTTAATTCCAAAATAATAGTTATTTATATGATATAATAATAGAAATCGATTAATAAAAAATATAGTATATATATAATATATTTAATTGTTTTATTTATTATACAAGAATTATAAATTTACTAACTATTTAACTTATACAAATTATTGTAAAAAAACTTTTGTATTATTAACATAAATAATATTAATAATATAAAAAAGTACATTATATTGGATAAATAACATATCAAAAACACAAATTTAAATAAATACCAATTTTATATTAATGATTTATTATTACAGTTAGTTTCATTTTGTTTTAACTTTGTTTCAAAATAAATCAAAAATGCATCTTTTTTCAACTCTGTTTCAAAACAAAATAATTTTGTTTCAAAATAAATATAATTGTACCAAATGAAATCAAAAATGTTTCAAAATAATATAATGTTTTAAATTAATAAAAAAATGTAGCAAAATAAAACAAATTTGTTTCATATAGCTGTAATTTTGTTTCAAAATAATACTGAAAACAGCTTAATTGACATTTTCCATTTGAGGTCTTCTCGATTAATCACTTTTGTCGATAATCGACCAAGAAAATGACTCTAACTTCTTCTTACCTCATTTTTTCGATATCTTTAAAGCATCTGGACATATTCGTTAACAATTAAAGAAAGTTTTCATTTGGTAATTTACCAACTCGACTTTTCCAAATACCGAAAATTATTTCTATTGGATTGCATTCTGGGGTATAGGGTGCATTAAACAACACCTTACACCCTCTAGCGTTTGCTGCAGATATAATATCCTCTCTATGTACAGAAGCATTGTCCATTACAAAGACTATGTTTCCAAGTAAAGCAACATAATTTTCAACAAGAAGTTAAAGGATGCACTAAACA